GCAGAGGCTAAGAGACAATGATATTCTCATTCCTTGTGTCTCTCCCTGGAACATGCCCTTGCTTCTAGTCACTGAAGCCAGGGACAAACAACTATCGCTCTGTACAGGATCTCGGAGAGGTTAATGCATGAGTTCTGAGTCTATACCCAACAGTGCCAAATCCTGAGAACACCTGGTACTCTGTTCTGGACCTGAAAGTTGCTTTCTTCACTTTGCCTCTTACTCTGGTGAGTCAATTATTTTGCCTTTAAATGGACTGACCCAGATACAGGGGTAAAAGAACAGCTGACCCGGACACATTTACCTCAGGGTTACAAGAACTCTCCCACTCTTTTTGATGAGACATTAACAAGAGACCTTTTAAAATTTAAGAAAAAAACACCCTGAGATAGTGCTCCTCCAGCACATAGATGACTTGTTAATAGCCTCGACCCCCACAGAAGCTTGTAAGCTTGTCAAGAGACAACTGAGAAACTGTTAAGGACTTTGGGGCAATTAGGCTATAAAGTCTCGACTAAAAGGGCACAATTGTGCTGTCAGGCTGTGACTCATCTGGACTACAAATTGCAAAAAAAAAAAAATAAAAAAAAGGAGGATTTTGTCTAAAAAAAGTGTCCAGGCTATATTGCAGATCCCATTCCCAGAAACTAAGAAACAGGTGCGCGAATTTCTGGGAGCTGTCGGATACTCCAGGCTGTGGATTCTAAATTTTACTGAAACAGCTCACCCCCTGTAGGGCTCCCTTAAGGGAAAAACTCACTAAACTGGACTGATAAATGTAAACTGGACCTTGCGGCAGCTCAAGTGGGCCTTGACAGAGGCCCCAGCCCTGGGACTCCCTGATGTTGCCAAGCCATTCCCTTGTTCGTAGATAAACTCAGGGGCATTGCCAAAGGAGTCCTAACCCAGGACATTGGCTCTTAAAAGAGGCCTATAGCCCTATCTTTCCAAAAGGCTCAATCCAGTAACAAGAGGGTGGCCTCCATGCCTAAAATTCTGGCCGCTGTGGCAATGCTACTTAAAAGAGGCCCAAAAAAAAAAAAAAAAAAAAAAAAAAAAACCCTCACTTTTGGACAGAAGATTTCTGTAGTGACCTCCCACAGTTTAGAGACTCTTATCAAAACCCCTCCCGAAAATGTGAGTGCTAGAATCTCACACTATTAGGCCCTGCTCCTAGACCCAGAATTGGTAGTTCTCAAGACTTCTTCAACTTTAAACCCCGCCACCCTTATGCCTGACAATGACCTGAGGAATTTCACAGATGGAAGCAGCTTCATCCAGAACGGCAGAGGCAGATGAGTGGCCGGGGCAGCAGTGACCACCAAAAGGAGGTACTCTGGGTTAAGCGGTTAGAGCCTGGCATCTCTGCCAAAAGGTGGAGCTCATTGCTTTGACTGAGGTACTAAAACTAGCCATGGGAAAGAGGGTAAACATCTATACTGATAGTAGATATGCTTTTGCTACTATACATGTACATGGAGCCATCTATTAGGAGTGAGGTCTCTTAACCTCCGCCAGAGCTAAGATTTAAAAAAAAAAAAAAAAAAAAAAAAAAAGGGCTCCAAAGATCCTAGATTTGCTGGCAGCAGTCTGGCTGTCAGCAGATTGCTGCTATTCACCTGAGAAAACAATTTGGCAGATCAGGCCACTCAAAGAGTAGCAGTCACATCAGAGGGGCCAGCCGAGAAAGTAACTGCTCTGGATGTGAGTCCCCCTGAACTTGTCAGAACCAGTCTACACAAAGAAAGACTACACTGGTTGTTGTGAGCCATCTAACAAATTCCAGTCCCTGTGACTAAAAGACAAGTGCAAAATTTCTAGGAGCCACAGGACTGATCCAGAGTTTGGGACCCTGACAGAGGTCTGTTGTCTACCTTTCCAAGACACTTGATTCTGTAACAACCAGATGACCACCCTGTCTGTGGTGATTTCCTCAGTGGCCCCCTCATAAAGGAGGCTTAAAAATTGACTTTTGGACACAAACTCTTGTTTCTTCCTGTTCCCTGGAGACTCTCATCAAGGCCCCATCAGACTGACGGATTTCTAATTCCTGAGCCATACATTATCAGGCACTATTTCTAGAAACAGCGGCTTCAAACTCTGGCTACTTTGCTGCCTGAGGATGACCCCTCGTTGCCTCACTACAATTGTACTGAGGTCATTGATCACCTCACGGGACTTCGACCTTATCTAGTGGATAAGCCATTATCTAGAGTTCCATCCTACTTCTCTGATGGAAGCAGCTACGTCTATCAAGGTAAGCGGGTCTTGGGAGCTGCCGTTACACAAAATCTCAGGTTCTATGGGAACAAATCTTAGAGCCAGAGACATCAACATAGTGGGCTAAACCCATTGCCCACACTGAGGCCTCAAGTTGTCTTTATCAAAAATGGGGTTTATTGTCTTCTGGAGTCAAAAGATTAAAATTGCTCCCCGAATTTGGACTTGTTGGCTGCCATCTAGATGCCAAAGAGAGTGGCTACTATCTGCTGTATAAGCCATTGGGCAGAAGATGATCTTGTTATAGAAAAAAATAATTTGACAAATGCCACCTTCCAAAAGATAGCCAGAGAGCCCCAAAATCAGTGGGGATTGAGATAAGCTTGACATTACTGCTGATCCCACCTATTTTCTTTGTCAGAGCCCATTTACACTTAAAAAGACCAGCATCTGGCAGCTCAACTTCCGAGAGATTCCCGGGGGCTAATATCAAGCTAGCCCAGTCTGTGAGCTTCAGATGCCCTCAGTGCCAATTGGTAAATCTAAAAGTACTGCAACAAATAGAAACCACTGGTTATCATGGGACTATGCCTAAAAAATACTAAAAAATAGATTTTACAAAAATAAAAAGCCTAAAACTTCAAAGATATAAATGTTATAATGGTTGATACTTTCATTAGATGAGTAAAAGCGTTTTCTACTTAGTCTGAGTCAGCTCTGATAGCAGTTTCCCTGATTTGGTCTCCCTTTTTATCCATGGGGTCCGACAATGGCCTGGCTTTTATAGCCTAATAACTCAAATTAACCTAAGCTTTGCAGATCAATTAGAAAACTCGATTGGGCTTACCAGCCTCAGAGTTCAGGAGAGATAAAAAGATAAGTTATATTTTAAAGACTATAATTACTAATGGCCTTAAAAACTGGCGAAAACTGGGTGAGTCTCTTTTCCTTCTGCCCCTTTGTGTGCGTGATGCATCCCCTATGTTGCAGATATTTCCTCTTTTGAGGTTTTATATAAGAGATCTTCCTCTTATCATTAAAGGTTTCTAAAAATTAGCTGATTTAACTAATCAAGATCTTATTAAGTCTCCCCCAGACTCTTTAGCCAGCTCTGACTTCCATCCACTGGTTATTTTGCTGCTGCCCACTGCGAGCTAAAGAGCCTAGGCACCCAGACAAGCGACCTCACCATAAATCACTTGAGCTGCAATGGACCGTCAAAGTAGCTGAAAGCCTGCCTGGATTCAACGTTCCCACTGCAGACAGGTCCCAGCTTCAAAAGACCATTAGCCTGCGGATAAATAAACTGTCATTTCTTCCAAGGACACTTTAAAGCTTAAGATTGTCTAATATAACTGATAATTTTGTGTTCTCCTCCTTTGTAGAGACCCCAAAGAGGCCTCTGTCTAACTTAAAAATTGTTACTTGTATGATAAAACAAAGTAAATTTAAATGTTGGTTTTCTTTCTCCTTTTGGTTAACAGCTTTAATGACAGCTACAAGACCTTTGTTAATCCTCCTACTGGGCCTTGTGTTATAAACAAGTTGATAAACTATGTCAAAGTTCTTAAAAGCTTATAATTTTAAAGACACATACAAGGTTATAAACAGATGCTAAAGAGTCAATGATTTGACACACTGACTAAAATCAGTGGGGAATGTTGTACCCTAAGAAAATAGCTTTGTTATATGTGTATTATAGCAAACCTGTATAGGGGCTTACTAAATGTGTTTGTTTTATCCTTTTTCCCTAACTGATATGTTAAGGGACCTAATTGATCTGTTGAGCAACACTCTCCTCTGTAAAGAATTGCAAGAATCTCACCTAATTGATATGTTAACCATTGTTGCTCTCTACAAACTACAGAAGCTGTGCTAAAACAAGCTAACAAGGGTTGTTAATCACTGCTAGGAGCCTCTATTCTCCGCTAAAGAGCTAAAAAAACTAAAATGGCAATTAATTTACATTTGTTTAAAGTAACCTGCTTGTGTGCAGAGAGATTTGCGTGTGAGTTTAACCCTTTACCCTGACCTTGACACATTACCGCCGTTTTCTGTTCTGTATGGCGCCTTATTGCCTCCCTCTCCCCTCACCTATCTATCTAGGCCATAAAGAATTTGGGTTTCTGGTGACCTCCCCCCGACCCGGTGATGATCTGTTGTAAAATGAGCCTGCCCCAATTTTAAGAACTGCTTAGCTTAAACAAATTACCGGGTAATACTATGGCCCAAACCCCAATCGGTGCTTTCCTTTTGTTCTGTATGTATCAAATGAGTTAGATATCAGGTCTTTGTAAAACTTAAGTTCCAGCCTCTCATAACTTGTGACCCCTTCGCACTCACTAGTGAAGACAAGCTGTCCTGAGATAATTAACTCTCCACTTTCTTCTCCAAATATTGCTGCAGACGTGCCACTCTGAGATAATGTCAGTCTGCAGGATGGGAGTAATTTAAAAAACACCAGGAACTCCCTAGACTGTCAGAGCTAAATAGACAGCAATACAGTTTCCAGACTCGGGTCAACAAGTTTGATGACTCTACAGGTTTCTTTGTTTCTCTCCCCCCGCCCTTTCCTCCAGCCCCTTTTTAAAGTCCTCCCTTCAGCTTCTAGGGGACGGTCTCCAAATTGGCTCCCGGAGACTGGTCGCCAGGCCTGGAAATAAAGCCTTTGCCACTAAATTTTCGGTCTCTTGCCTCCTTGGATTTTATACCGGGGCTCAAGTTATAACATTTAAGTCATCCTAAATTTAAAACTGGATAGCTTGCCTAGAATTAAACATTATCAAGCTTGTGCCATTGTAACTTATTTAGACTATGATGGTTACTTTTCAAGTCCTTTGCACAGAGATGGCACTGAAACAGAGCAATGCTGTATCTGGCAACTCTTGAAATGACAAATTGCTAACTACAAATTGTAGTAAAATAATTTGAAGAACTCTGCCCCAGAAATGAACTGTACTTCTATTTTTATTAAAATTCGTAGTTAGCAATTCATTATTTACACAGCTGCCAGATACAGCACTGATCTGTTTCAGTGCCATTTCTGTGCAAAGGACTTGAAAAGTAACCACCATTGTCTAAATAAGTTACAATGGCACAATCTTACTGAAGTTTAATTCTAGCTAAGCTATCTAGTTCTAAATTTAGGATCACAACATGTGTAGGCATTTACTAACATATCTTTCCATCTTCATTTGGATGCCCCGTTTCATTAGAAATATAACTTTTCCCAAGCTTGGAGTCATATTTTATCTTTCCATCAAATAGCTAAATTTGAAAAGTAAGGAAAACATCAAAAGAAAGTGTTTCTAAGGATTGACATGTTCATTTGCAAGGAATCTGTGTTTCTGGTAATACTCGGATCTTGCTTAAAAACAAAAATCAGTGTACACAACATGAACCTGCAGAGAACTCTGACCTGTCAGAAATATGTTTCTGGTCCTGCTTTTAAGAGCTGCTCTTTGCCACTGGGCATTCAGAAAGTAAAATACTCACACAAGGCATTTGTTTAAAATGTTTCCTACTGAGCCCACATTAGAATTGCTTTAGGCCTTTGGCCTTATTTTGAGAAACATTTTCTTCCCATTATTCTTTGGTCCTCCACTTAAATAATAGAAATGTTATTAATGCTATAAGCAGCAATTTACAACCTTATGAATGCTTCTGAACAAATTTTAAACACATGACTCTTATAGATCATCTTCTCTGTTGCCCCAGTAAAGCCTTATCATTTGCACCAATGATTTATGCACAAAAGCAGAATTTTTCTTCAATGAAGTCAAACTTTATTCAGGGTGTTATGTGGTTTTTAAAATTTTTACGTAGTAAGATTTACTCTGTGTATTTTATGGGGAATTTCATTTCAAAAATTTTAACTATTCTATTTTTTTTTTTTGCAATCTTTTAGTGTAATGGCATTTATTATAAAAAGTCTTCTCAAAATGTTTACCAGGAAAATAAGGCAGTTTACAATCAGAATAGTTGACCTTTTGATATTCTAAGTCATAATTTACTTTGCATAAGCCTGCGATCGGTTCTCTTTATTCATATTCAGCCTGAATTCAATTTCAAGTACCTGCTTCAGTAATGCTACAGTTACTTTATACATTTGTTTTGTCATGCAGCATGCAGCCTTGGTGGTCATGATACAACCTGTATTTGTGTACCACTTTTTTTCTCATGTTAAAAACCTTTAATTACAACATGTAATTCAAATCACAGCCATGAAAAGATTTTGCAGCCATATTGTAAAACCGCCATGGTGATCATACTGCATTTTCACTAGTTTCAATCTGGAGTAAACCTAAAGTGAAATCTGCCAGCTCCAAACCAAGACTCATGGTGACTTTCAATTGCTTTCTGCTTCACTCTTCACTCGCTGAAGATCTGCTGTATTGGACTGCTTTAAGTAATGAACAACGTGTGGATGCAATAACAACTGGACATGGTTGTATATAATATGAATCTTAAAAATTCAATACATCGTGTGTTGTAATAGACATACTTAATTCACTCATGTGAAGTAAACATTCTCTGAATTTTGGGGCCTGCAATCTTTTGTTGCTTCTGTGTGAACCATCATGGTTCCTAACTGCCGTTATGTTTTGGCCACAACTGTCTCCTAAGTCTTCAATTAATACTTGATTTAATGGAAACTCTGTGAAGCCCAGCCTCCAAGGGATTGTAACTTGGGTGAAAAATTCATGGGATAAAGTCACTGACAGCTGTGTTTCCTATGCCCTGTGAGCAGGCTACATGGATGAGATGTGCACATTTTAAGAGAGCTCTACTGCTGGACCTGAGAGGCTGGGGCCAATATTTCCATAGAAATGGAATTTCAAGACATTCAGTCCATAATGTGGGGTTTGGAGAACTATAATAGTGTTCTAGAAAAAGGTGACAAGACTGTATTTGAACAAATACGGATTTTTGTATATGAAAAAAATAAGATTACCCTGAAAAATAAGTCCTGGTGCATCTTTTGGAGCAAAATTTAAAGTAAGAGCTGGTCTTATTTTCAGGGAATAATATTTTTGAACTCTAGTTCACCCAACAGGGTCATCATGGGCAGCTGAGTTACTGCACCTGAATGAATAATATTTTCATGGTATGAGATGACCCAAGATAGCTTGGGCAGGGCATATGAATGAGTACCCTCTACAGTGGTCAAGCAAATGGCAGACGTGCAGGCCCTTTAACATCTGCTTTCTGCCACCTTCTCTCTTCCAATAGTCATGACTGATGTCTGAGTGTTCACTGTGGGAGCAGCACTTTGGGTGCAGTAACTCAGCTGTCTATGGTGACCCTATTGGTGAGCTAGAGTTTGATTCTTTTGTCCCTCAAAGGCCACCAGCTTGGTGCTACTAGGAGGTGGTGGAGCCCTCAGGAGTTGGAATCTAGTGAAAGGTCTCCAGTCACTGGGCAGAACCCCCTGAAGGGGACAGCAGGATCTCACGCCCTTCTTCTTCTCTTCCCAGCCATGAGGTGAGTAGCTTTGTTCTGCTATGTGTCACCCCACACCCTGGCCCATGATATGCTGCCAGCAGCCTATGCCAGTGGGCCAACCGGTCACAGAGTAGAACTTCCAGAATTGAACCACAATAAACATTTTGTCTTTATAAGTTGATTACTTCAAGTATTTGTTACAGTAGTAGAAAACTGAATACCAGAGTGGAGCTGTGCTATACACTATATTTCAGAGGGGAATTAACTAGAGGAACAGAGATACCAGGAGACTGACATAAATCAAATGCCTTCACGTAGAAACACAACAGGTGCTCAATGCTGAGGCTATACCGTGACTTCCGACTTCAGTGTTCCTTTGCCCAGCCCTGGGTGTTTTATGTTTTGCTTATTATATGAAGGATTTTTAAATGATTTTCATGTATAAGTGGTCCATATTTATTGTGTTATATATTTCTCAGATTACTTCTATGGAGCATGGGCTCCCCAGCTTCCAAGCCTGGGAGTCACACCAACAGCACTCCTGAGTCTCCACAGCAGATAGAAACTGTCAGTTGCCATAATTACATGATTCAATGTCTAATGATAAGTTTCTTCCTATATGCCAACAGGAAATATATATACACATACATGTATGTAATTTATACACATTCAGAGGCATTCATAGAAACCTGTTCACACAGAGACAAAGCAGATATATATCTACTATACAGAAATTTATTAGAGAAATCCCTGATTAACATGGCTAGGATAGAGAACAGGGCACCCTCATTAGAAAAAAAGAGAACTGACCATGAGTGCATGGTGATATCAAAGAAAAACAAGCTTCCCTGTGGTAAGCTCCTAGAATTTTGAAGTTATTACAGAAGATAGTGCATTCTGATCAAACTGTCAAAGCAACTACAGAAATATACCTGTCGGGAAATACCACTCAGGAAAAATGCATATAAATTTTATTAATATAAATTTATAATTATAATATTTAATAATAATAATTACTTGATTCATAGTAAATGAAAGAAATATGTTTCTCTTACTCTTAAAATTTCATGTGTTCATTGTAAAATTCAAGTGTGAGTTATTTGATAATGTGAATTTAAAGAAAGTTGAATATCCAAAATAAAAAGAGAAGTAATTTTGTTGTTAAATAAAAATGAACTACAGTTGATATGAGATTATTTTATGTTAAAAGGGCTTATCTAGTTTACATGTGTTTCATGGAAGATCTTTTAAATTTTGTAAAAAGTTTGTTCAGGATTCGTATAAAGCAAATGCTATTATAAAATTGTTTTGACTTGGGGGAGTGTGGGGAGGGGAAGATAAATGCCTGTGTGTAGCTGCAGTAGAAAATGTGACCCCCACCACCCCCAAGCCAGTAACTTCAGTCTCTTAGTCACCCTGGTAATAGTTCCTGTTGCAGTTCTGATTGCTTCTATCCACTAGAAACAGCTGGCTACTGTAATGCACAGCTGGCCACTGTGGGGCATACTGTAAGAACCAAAGACAGCCAAGTACTCTGTGTTTGGACTTTCCCTTTGCAATCCCATAAAATCCTCTCTCCTTGAGCCTTCGGGGTCTGATACTCTCGGAATGATCCTGATCAGTGCTCGGCCATGTAGAATAAATCTGCCTCCAAATCCTAGGTGTCCTTTTGGTGTTTCTGCTTAATGTTGCACAACTCATCTCAGAAACAATTTGCAAATATATCTTTCAAATTATTAATATTAGTTTTTTAAATATTTTCCTGAAACATCATCTTAGATTATATAATCTAAGTTAGTATTCATTTTACAAAAAGAAAGTAAAAATATGTTCAAATTCATATTGGCAGAGATTTAAGTTTTCTTTACAAGAAATTATTTTTTCTAAATTTCTAATGTTTAGCAAATTAATGTTAATTTTAGATATTATACTGAATATTATACATGATATAAGAAATATATAGATTATATATAATAGATTATTATGCAATCATAATAATATATAAATGTAGATTATTATATATAATCATAAACTGAAAAATTGATTTTGCTAATCTGAGAACTTTACAGATAAATATTTCTGGAAATTTCTCTCATTTAAAGGGATTATTTTGAAATTTGATATATTTATATGAGCAATAGAACTGCACTGAAAACTTTGATGCACTAATTTTATCATATTATTGTCTGACCATACTCATATAAAATAATTATTATGGTGCAATAAAAAGTCATTTAGTCAGTAATATTACAACATTCCCTTATGAATATATTTTATGTATATTTGTGCTACATAAAATCATATAAATTTATTTTCCAGATCTATGTCACCCATCTCTTATCATTTTAAGAAGTTCAGATCTATGCTGTCTCCATTCAACTTCTTTATACAACCTCAGAAGTTAGCCTACCTTCACCAAAAAAGTGAAAGGAAATTGAATAAACATTACTGTACGTCATATTATCAGAGGTGTAGACATATAATTAAAGTATTGGAAATTACCTTGTAAAATAGTTCTAGCATTTTTTAAGTTTAGAATCTTTAAAATTGTGTTTTGGAAATATTACTTCACTTTTTTCTGTGTTCGACAAATATATATCATAAGATAGGCCCAATGTTTCCCATATTTATCTCTGGTGCTTTCATTTTTATTTCCATTGAACTGGAATATTTGTTTTAAAACACTACATTTATTTTAGCTGCATTGTACACCCACTAAATAAGTGCATGTGATAGGACAGTGGTAAACACTAGGGTTTGGACTTCTATGCATTTCTCCAGGATGATATTCAATACATTCCAGTTGAAGGGAAAACTTCTGGAAAGTTCAGACCTACATGCCAGAAAGTAATAGTGTAAGAATTCTCACCAGTGAATCTTTGGCAGATAATGCAACCCAACATAACAAGGACAGAGACCTGCTAGAAATTTATGCCTTAAAAGACCCCCAAAGTCAGTGAAGAAAAACATTTGTTTGCTTTTTACTTCACTGATACATGTTTCAAATTTGTACCCATATATGATGTATTTTAATTCTTCTTTACCCAATCCTCTGTTCTCTGTTCAAGAGAGAACAGGCCCAGCTGCAGGCGTGCATGCCAGTGCAGGCGGCACCAGCAAGAACAGACTGGGAAACGGGTGCGCACTCCTGCAGGCAGGACCTGTGGCGGGAGCAGGCTGAAGCAGGAGGGAGAATATGAAGCAGCCGCTGGTCATCAGGTGAGCATTATTACGTCCTACCACAGACAGGAAGAACAGAAGTGGGTGGGAGCATTTTATATCAAAGAGCTCTAGGAGAAAGCAGGAAACAAAAGACCTGCCCCAGTTCCTACACCCAGAAGCCAAGGTCATGCTCATAGGCTGCCGCACAAGCCCCACTTGAATGGAGTGCGCATTGCTGGATTCTGACTTGGAAACTGCCAGAGAACTATGGACACGAGGGCAATTTTCCTACTTTTATTTTCTTCTGTCTGGCTGTTTGTTCTCTGGTTGGTTTTGCCTGTTTTGTTTGTGGCTGTGTTACTTTGCCTTTATTTTGTCTTTTTCTTTTCTTTCAGCTTTCCTTTTTTTTTTTTCACCATGTTTTTTTTTTTTTTTCTATTCATCTTATTTCTCTTTTCCTCAACTATCTCCTGATTTGGTAGCTTCATACGAATGAATATTGTTTCTTGTCTTTCTGGTTTACTTCAATACCCCTTCACTTGCAGTTTCATTTTCTTGTCTCCTGTGTCCTCCAGTTTCCCAAAATTTCAATTATTATCCTTAAACCCCAGCCTTGCTTCTACTCTATTTGAATGTTTTCATCTCTCTGTCTTGTCCTTTATCTCTGTAAATTCTTCTCTCTTCCCACACAAGGTAAAATCACTCCATTTAGGGGGAAATCATTGCATACAAGTTCCTGATATATATTGCATTTTGTCATATAACTGTAAACTTTGCTCCTTGTTAAAGGTATCAGGTTGACAGTTACAGTTTTTCAGTAGATAGCCTGTACTTGATGCTACTATTATTGACAACTGTACTACGTTAGGCAGGATTTCATATATGTTATGTTTTTGTCCCTTGTATGATATTAAGGTGATTGTATGAGATCACAGTCACATTCATTGTTCAGGACCAAAGGATTGGGTGCCAAGCCAAATAGATAACAATTTTTCATCCTTAATCAATTGGGAAAATAGGTTTTTGGGATAGACAAAAGACATTTCCTAGGGAGTCCTAAATATTACTGATAAAGATGCCTACCATAAGAAATCAGCAAGCAAAACACAGAAAACAAAATAAAGTAAAAGGAGAAGATGAAAATATGCAGAAGCAAAATGCAACCCCAGACCCCCCAGTCCACCCATGACAAGCCCAGAGCACAGTGAGATAAAGAAAATCAAAAGCGAAGCATTGAAATTTTCCAAAATGATAGCAAAAGAGTGAAAAAAAATGGAAGAGATCATAGAAAAAATCTCTCAAGTACACAGATAAATGGTGATCAAAATGAAAGACATTAAAGCAGACACAGATTTTTAAAAAGGACAGGACTTTGGAAACTGTGAATGCCCAATGTAGAAAAGAAATGGAATCCTTGAAACATAATCAAATAGCAATTCAGATTGAAATCACCGCTGAAAGTATACACAACAGATCAAAAATCTCTAAGGATGGAATATCAGATCTAGAGTACAGGATTGGGGCTAGTGACTATGAAAAGAAAGATTCCTTAAAAATTTTAAGAGATCATAAAAAATCCAATATTTGCTAGAGGAAGCAAAGAAGACCATCATAAGTTTGAATGGAATCAATGAAAAAGCTGGAGATGACACAAAGGCCATAAAAGTTTTCTTCACAGAATTAATGGAAGAAAACTTCCCAAACAGGATAAAGAATTTGACATGTACATAAAATGGAGTTTATAGAACTCCACACATCCAGGACGAAAGGTATGTCTATAAACCTATCTTCCTCAGGATAGTATGTATAAGCATCCATGTGTTTTGAGTAGATGACTACAGTGGCAAAGTAGGCATAGTAACTAGGACAAGTAAGATATTTTCACTGAAAAATCATATCTAAATTTAGCTAATCTGGAGTTCTAAAATCTTAACTCTGGACATATGTAAAAACACTAATAAGATTATCTACTGAGTTAAACAGACATATTTTCTTGTTCGCTATTAAGGCTTTCAAAAAACCTGCTATATTAGAATATAATTAGGGTTCAAATTTTAACATAGAGACATATGCTTATGTTTATACATATGAATACAGAAAGATATACACATATGTGTATATACACCCATATACATGGATATATAAAACTACTCACCTAAAACAGTAATCCAAGTAAGACCTTAGTACTAGTTTTAAAACCAAACTATTAAACACAGGAAAGAAATACAAGAGAATTATCAGTTCAGTGCCTGTCCTTGTTATTCTTATGAGTGTTGGGTACCTGAGAGTGAATTTATTTGCTGAAATCGTCCTTGATGCCTGCACATAATGGCAGATTATCATTTTTTCCTAGGTGACATGAACAACAATCTTTACACCTCTTCTGCTCTAAACTTTCTTTAGTATAATTGTAATATGAATAACTCATATTTATGGATTGTGTTGAAGAGGAAAGCTTTTAACCAGGCAATTATAAAGCTAAAAATATAAAATTTCCCTATTCATCAATATTTCTTATATAATGCAACAGAAGCAACGTCAGGACCCAGGACTCCTTGGATTAAGTCTAATAGGATAGAAACCAGCATAGTTGTCAATGTTGAGTTACATAGTTACTATATTATACATTAAAATTGATTATAAATAAAATGAATAATTGCAAAAAATAGATGAGATAGTCTAACAAATGAAGCAGAAGACACATTGTTGGGAAAAAAAACAGATGTGCAATCAGAATGAAATGGTAATAAAAGAGAAACAGTCATCATACAATGTAAAATAGAGTATAGGAAGAAAGGCAGTAGCTTTTATGCATTTTTGGTAGGATATCCCAGTGAGAGGATACACTGGTATGTGTGTTACAAATAAAACAGAAATTTGCAAAAGTTTAATGCTGAGTTTTAAGATGAAATGATAAAGTAGGAAGAGTTATGTAGCACCTACATTTATTTTAGACACACATGTTAACTTACTGTATTTGTAAAATTCTATAAACTATTTTTACATGTGTTTAGACCCTCATATTTATACATATAGTAAAACTATAAAAATGAAACAAATAATTAGAAGTTCAAAGTTTAAGAAATGTCTTTGTCTCAGGTGGAAAGATTATACTCTGGCAGTATTAAATATTTCTAGATTCATTTAAACATTTTGCAATGCACAAATGTATTGAAACATCACAAAGCACCACATTACAATGCACAACTTTTATTTTTTGTTCATCAGTTAAAATTAATTTACAAATTTACACTTTTTAAATAGTCATGTAAGTTATAGCAAAGTGTTTTGCCAATTTAGTCACAGATGTAGGTACATACATTTCAGTATGGTTAGTAATTTTATTTGCACCTATTAAATAATTCATACTTTCCAATTAAATAAAACCATTCCAAAATTTACATATTAATAAAAGTATATTGAGTAACAAAAGTACAATTTCCTGCAGTCACTTAAATTTTTCTCTAGTTATCAAATAAGCTGACATGAACAATACTATATTGTGACTTTCAAAATGACCTTCATTGATTATTTTCATATAACACAGCCAAAAGTTTATGAAAAATTTTCTCTAGGGAAGTTAACTTCTCAATTCATATTGCCAATGAATGTGCTTTGGCAGAAAATTTGCCAAAAATGACATTTACTTTTCGGGAAATTATGATATCACTTAATAGAATCTTGGAGTATATAGCACTCAGACAACTGTCAAATCGGTCCTCGGCCTTGAGAGATCTGAATGTTCATTAGCAGAAGGGTTATATATTAACTGAAACTTAGCTATTCATTTCAAGATGCTGAATTAAGTATAGAGAGAATGATGAATCATTCTTATTAAAGGTGGCACAATGTTCAAGGTAATATGAATGCTACAAGCCCATAGCTACCTAAATCATTTTGCCAAATAACTGGATTTAAAAATGGTTTACAATTTTGTGAGATACCAATTTCTCTTTTGGAGTTCAGACACCTTTTCAAGAATTAGATCCTTCAATACAAGTATATCTAAAATTTAAGAAACTCTTAGAAAAGAAAGTTAGTTAAATTCATTCTTATATCTTTCCAAGTGAAAGGAAACAGCTAAACAGTAATTTAAAATATGTTGCAAAATATTTCAGTATAAGAATCAGGACATTAATAATCCTACTAAATTTTAGAAATAAGGTTTTTGCTTTTTACTATAATGTTAACTTTGGCAAGGTTTGGGAGGCCTGATTTTTCTGTATTCACATATATAACATACCAAATTGCTAAGCAGTCTATTTGAGATGAAAAAAAAAGTAATATTCATAATGTCAAGAAGAAATACTTAATTACTACATTTTTACTGCTTTCTTAATACGTTACTTGTATTTGGAACATCAGTTACCTCAATTGGCAAATATGTAATTGTGACTTTTGGTTTGTTTTTCCCTCGCTTTTAGAAAGAATATATTTTTCAAAAGTAGCCATAGTATTTGTTTGTTTTTATAATCAATCCATATTATATCAAAATAATACATTTCAATAAATACTGGTGGGATAAGTGATTTAATGAATGAATGAAACAAGACACAGCTAGCTCCTATAATTAATGTTATTTTGTTATGCAAATATATTAGAAGAAATGAGACACAATATGACAAATAGTTGAAAGGTAAAGAAAATAGACTTTAAATTCTGGGAGAGTGGGGTTATGAGTGTGAATAATTCTTAGTAATTTCATGGCATTGGAATCCATAGAAAGCTTATGCACAGAGCTTTAAAATAAAATTAAAACAGAACCACCAATTGATATTGGAACTTGAACGTTGAAAATAATATCAACCGTTTTGCTAGATCTAAAATTTCCCAGAAAGTCTCATGTGTTCAAACTTTGTGTTTTGAAAGGTGCCTGGATCATCAGGGCACTACACCCATCAAGGGATTCACCAACTGTGAATTTAGCAGTTGAGTGTGCTCTTTAGAGTCTGGCTAGAGGCAGGTACCTGGGCCTTGACCTGGAGGCAACTAGGACTGTCTGGTCCCTATTCACTGTGTGAATTCTGACCACCGTAACATGAGCTGATTTCCTCCCATTGTTAGGGCCGACACCGCAGGGAAAGAGACCCCAAGGACTCAACTCTTGGTGAGGGAAAAAAGTTTATTTCCATGCGCATGGGGTCCCCCAGGCAAACAAGTGCGGAGGGCCCCGAAGGGGAATTGTGTAGGGTTTTTAAGGGCGCAGGGAGGCAAGCGAATTTACAGAAGCAGATTGTATTGGTTAATTTTGAGCAGCATAGGATTTGGCAGAAATTGATTGGAGGGGTTTGGGGTTGAGTAACCATGGAGACTGGGGGTCCTAGCCCAGTCACTATGTGCCCAGAACAGAACAGTTACTTGTCTTACTTATCTCGTTGAGACAGAACAACCTTGCAGGTGCATTCTTTCTTTTTTTTCTCTGCTCTGATAGCTCTGGGGAGTTAGGCATTTCTTTCTGCTCTGCTCTGATAGCTCTGGGGAGTTAGGGAGTTAACCCTTTTATTCCCCCACTCTGGGGAGTTAGGGAGTGAAACATTCTTTGCTGCTTTTTATAACTCGGGGAGGGGGTTATAGCAGGGGGGTCAACTCTCACACCATCAGGCCTTTCCATCATGCCATTTCTCTCTTGCAGACAGTGAAATGTTAGCCTCAATAAATCTTTTGTCCTTAAGGTTCTGGGTATTGAATATTTTGTCCCTGCAAGAAAGAAAGTCACCAAAATAGATTTTTATAAACAAAGCGGGATCGTTTCTGTAAATGTATCTGACTTACTGGCTTCCACTTGTTTGGAAGACATTCTTGGGAGTAGTTTGAAAATCTGGCAGAAAAATCTAGAATACTGTTTGCCAAGGTAGGTGTGAAATTCTGATCAGAGCTTGAAGAACAGAATACTGATAGAAATGCATACAGTAAAGCTAGTCTCAGGAAGTTTCAGTTAGGAATACGAACTCCATTGGCTGTTGGACTCCTGATCATCGGTGTCATACTCTGGCAAAAAATCAAATGAAATCTTTATCTAAAGCATGAGACTGTGCAGAAGGTTAAGATTAAGTATGATGGATTTAGAAGGCTGAGGAAATTTCAAGGCGGCCCAATAGTTCATCTATAGTTAGGGATGCTTGCTGTTTCTAGCAAGATGTATTATGAAAATGAGAAAAAAAAATGACAGTTAAATTATTTTTAAAATTTGCAGTTTCATCAGAAATATAGCATGGGAAAGTTGGCAGAAAGGAGAGCACAGATGTTTAAAAGAGCCAAATTCTTTGCATCAGGAAAATAGGGAAATTATATGAGGAACATTTCATAAATTAAGCATACTTTACCCATCAGAAGACTAAAAGTCCAAAAATGAAAGAGTTTGATTTGGAACTAGAGCCCTGGAGAGCCAAGTTCATTCAGTGCTATCCAGGAAAGCATTTCCTGTAGTTTAGGCATCAGATGTCTTTGTATCCGTGATCCAAGAGAAGCTGGAAACTGGTAGATCTGACCACAGACCTCCGCATTTTCCACATGGTGCTGGTTTTATGGGAAAGAAGAAGGTAAGAGCTGTGTGTCTTCTACCCAGATTTCACAAGATGGTAGGTCAAGCAGGGTGGCCCTGAAAGTAATGCTTTAAGCTGTAAAGAAGAAGCCAAAAGTGTAATGGAGGCTTGAGGAAGCTGAAGATGCCGAGTCTGAGGAACACCTAGTCAGAAAAGCTGCAGGTAGTTAGCAGAACCACCCCAATAAAGGCCAGGGGGGCTTCAATAGGCAAATTCACATGGACCGGGTTTCACAAAAACTTTGGTTCTCATATGTTTCACAACTTTCCCTGAGTGCTGGACACAGTGCTCTAGAATTTAATGCTCACTATGCTGGGCTCCATTCTCACTTTGATCCAGTCTACATAACTCTCTGTATCTTATTTCAGTCTTTTGGAATAGAAGGTTTATGATGTGCCATTATATGTTGGTAGTATTTTAAATATTTTTAACAGTGGCTCATGGCTAAGAGTATGCCTTCAGTCTCAAAGGAAATTTTAGACTAGGACTTTTCCTAAAAGTAGTTCTTGAACTTTTAAAACCCTGGTGAGTTTTGGTGATTTGGTAAGTATATTTTACACTGAGATGATAAATCTTTTCAGGACCAGAACAGAATTGTAAGATTTACTTAAAACCTCCCCTAAATCTCAGGTGGGATAGTGAAGGTGAGTAGACCATGGCATCACTATGTTCATCACTGAATTCATCCTCTAATGAGTTTAGCAACTGCATGTGCTGTTAGAAGTGTAACCTGGCTAGGAGCAGGATTATGTGGGCATAAACTGAAAAGTACCATCATTCTCTGGCTTTTCTTTGCATTTTCTCCCTTTTGGTTACCATGACATGAGAAGCCTTTTCTTCCCAGGTCCTCCACCACCAGGCCTTTGTCTCAGAGCCAGTCAGCATGAACCAAAAGAGTAAGTGTTCTGCTCTTCAAATTGCAAATGTCAGGTGTTTCACCCCTGTGAACAGAAAAGAAACTAAAACACCAAAAATGTTTTCAAGGAGGAAAATCAAGATAACATTTCGCTTAATAATAATAAATAGCAAGAACTACAATAGTAGTTGTATAATTAATAATACTAGTTCTATAATATTGGTTGTTGGAGTGTTTCAGCCTATTCTTAACATGCATTTCAGTTTATTGATAACATCACCTAGTTATTCTATATGGAAAACTGTCTCATCTGATTCTTTGCTTTTGAGTCACCGAAACTATCTCAGAACTCCATTTTATTATTTACAAACTATTTATATTCAAATTTCTCCCTTTGAGAAACACTGAAATTAGAGTCAATGGGACTGAAAGCTGTAATTGATTAAATATGATATTGCACTCTAAAATTCAATTACAGAAACCCTAAACCCAGAGCACCTCTGGGGGGTGCTCACTCACCCTTTTTGTGTTGCCACATTGTTCAAGAATACAGAGCACACATGAAGGAAGCTAGAAAAGGGAGTTAATTTGTCAAAACCTGCAGTCCTTGACTGCAGAAAAGGATTTTTATGGATTTAAAAATGAAACCAAACTGCTCCCTAAGTCTCAAAGAAAAAAATAAAAGAAAGCAGAGGCAGGTTTCCCTGAGAAGTCCACCTTGACCCCTCCTCAGCTGCCAGAGTCCCTGCCAGCACCTACAGCATCACTCCCCACTCCCAACTCACCTCCTTCCAGCCCTGCACCAGTTCCAGTCAGCCGCTGCCCACACTCAGCCACAGAGGTCCTCTCTCCAGAGCCTTCTGTTTCCTACACTGATCAGATAGCATCATTTAATGCTTACCCACAACAGCTGCAGCAATTCCTTCTGAGTTCTACATTTTGACCTAGAAATATAGGGCTGTGAGCCCTGATGAATGAGTTACCATGATATTTCCCAAAGGTCACTTTACCTTAGAAATAGCCCGATCAAGAACATCTCAGACATCAAAAAGGGACACAAAAGCTAATCAACTACCATCACCCAGAAACCTGATTAAAGCATATGATGTCCATAAGAAAATTCAGCCTGATAGACAGTCACACCCTCTGGTTTCAGGCTATTGACACCAGAAAAATGTTCGTTCCATATGCAAGACAAAGAAACCTGACTCTCCAGCCCCCCTCAGCCTGAACCTCTTCTCTCCATGCTGGGGCTGGATAAAGAGGACAAACTGAGCTCTATCAAATTGGGCCCCTGAGAACCTGCAGTCACTGTAGAAGTTGGGACAAACCTGTGCCTCCTGATAGACAATAGAACAGAACCCTCTTACCCTCCGAAGTTCCCTCTGTCAAAAGTTACCATTTGGGGCAACTGGGACACTTATCTCTCACTCTTTCTGTGAGGCACTAACTTACAGCTTGGAAGGACACCTCACCAACATCAGTTCCTGTCTGAGAAGAGGCTTGCTCTTCAAATTAGAAGGGACCATCCCTTTTACACCTAGTCAGTCAGCCTCCCTGTCACTTGATCCCTGAGAGGAACACAATGCCTGCATGAGAAAATAACTGCTGTACTATAGTACAGCAATAGTACAATAGTACAATAGTACAGCCATCACTTTGCACTCTGTGTTTCCCAACCCATACACTTTACTTGCACTGCCCTAGTTCACTTGGACTCAATTGTCCTATGGAATTAAGGACTCTCCCATTACTTGGGGGGCTGGGGAGCCTGAGGACAGATTTGGGCAAGCCACCAACACCTTTCCTCTGAGACAGCCTATTTCTCTGTTTCCTTCAGCTCTGTTATGGTCTCCTGGGCAAACACTGTAGACTGTCAAATTGCTAAAATAGGCCTCTCCTGTGTGTAAGGCCCAGTCGGAATCTCTGAGCTAACAATGCTACAGCAGTTGGCCTCCATATGCACTGCCTCAGACTTCTGCCACCTGCTGTCTGCTGGCATAGCTGTCAGGACCTAAAGAATATCTCCTGCCTTTGATTTGCTCCTGTCAGCCAGTTCATGTTTGTTTTAAAATGGAAAGACCCACCCAGCATCAAAAATTATGTGTCCTCTTTTTCAGAAGCCCTCACAGATGACCTTGTTGATTTCCCATCACAACGTATTGCAGCACTTCTGACTGATGACTTCCAAGCTGCCTGCTGGAAAGACTGAAAAGCTCTGCACAATGTCTTGCACAAACTGACTACAAGAAAAAAATCCACAAATTTCTTAGAGCTTCTGCATCCTATAAAATGTGGACCCTTGAGTTCACTTAAACAATGATGCTTACTCAGGGCTGCCTACTCCTTTTTTATCTTCATGCTCTAATAGCTGCTGTCCTTGCGATTAAGAAACCTGACAAGCTCATCTTAGTCCAAGCCCTCACTGTCCAGGTGCCTCATGCTGTACTGGACATCCCAGTCCTGACATGTGTCTGCCCACCACGCTTGGCCCACCAGATTGTGCCTAAAATCTGACTCCCCCTGATGGATGCTGAGGAGACCCTACTTATGAATGAATGCAAGTGGCTCTGTCACGACAAGTTAGAGATGCTGTAGTCACCTTGGATGAAGTTATTTTGGCCAAAACTCTCCTACTACTGCTTCCTGCTGCTGTTTGGAAACCTGCTACCAAAATATTACATGAAACTCCATTAGAATGTACAATCTTATGTCTTATTGTATCCTCTAAAATAAATTTCACAAAGTGAATGAAACATAATGAAGAAATGTTCAGATAAAACAGAAAATAAAATGAAATAGTGTTTAAACTGTTTACTTCGTTATACACAGTTGTGCCTCTGCTTTGTACATAAGACACACAGACGCTTTGCTTTTCCTATTCTCACAGGCATTTTCACATCTTGAAAACATGGTTCTGTTTGCATGCCTGCCTCCCAATCCTTCTTACCTTTTTGGACCACGGAAATCTAATTGAAATATTCTCATCCCTCATTTCAGTGTTTTATTTTTGCATACTCTGTACTAAATTGTCTGACTGCAAATCCATTCTTTGCTGTGGCCTGTGTCGCATCCTCTTATTCTTGCTGATAAGTATTCAATTAATGCATAGGAATGAATAATATTGAACTGTTCTTACTGATATTTTTAGTTATCAAAATCGTTTAAATACATTAAAATACATATCAAAACCTTCATTCTTTGAAAACTAGTTTTATAACACCTTTGTTGTGTTTTTCATGTGCTGTTAGCTTTATGAGCAAATTCATAAGCAATAATGTTTGTGTTACAGTGTCTGCAGTGGTGGGAAAACTGACAGCAAATCGTGAAAGACTCCTTCCATCACACACTTGCATTTCACAATGAGCAACTGAAACGGTTAATATTCGGAACTGTAATTACAGGATTATTAGCTAGAAGTAAAGTAAACCTTGATTAAAAGAAGCTTGGACTATGTATTCCTCTAATGATTCTCCCACCTATAATATACAGGGGCTACAACTGTGTCAGTTCTTGCCAACATATTACAGGGACATAATTACATTGGCTTGTAGCTGTTATAGTGCATGTGAATGGATCTGTTTGGGAGTCTAATTTGCAGTTCCTTTATGCTTAATAATATTGAGCATATTTTTATGTCCGTATTTCCTTTATGACTGATAGTACTGAGCATATTTTATGCACAATTTCTGTACATGGTCCTAATTAGGCTGGTTTATATGAGTTTTTTTTTCTGTAGTTTTGAAGGAGTATGTTATATTTGAAGAAAAAATTCTTCAATGGTTATAAAACTTGCAAATATTTTTAATGTATTATTTTCATAGTTTATATATGTTTATACTATCATATATGTTTATATATGTTTATATATGTTTATATATGTTTATACTATCATATATGTTAGGTATATATGTTTATATATGTTTATACTATCATATATGTTAGGTATAAACTATATGTTTATACCTAACATAGGTATGTATTTTAAACAAATACATTTTATATGGATGATTTGAATTTATTTTTAAAATGATTATTGCTTACTAGATACCACAAAATTAAAATCATGTTTTTTATTATAAAATATTTGTATTACTTTTACATTTATTTATATTTTAAATTATTTGCAATGTGCAGAATTAGAAAGGTATCCTTTCATTTTTCTGGTAAAAATGTTTGTCAATTTCAGTTATTTAAAAGATTACCTTAAGTAACTTAAATTGGGAAGATGGCATCAATTAAATAATACATAAAAATGCAAAGAAACATTTTGATATAGAACTAATTTTGCACTATTTTAAAACTTTCTATTGATATATTAGTTTTATACCAGTACCAACATTCTACTGATCATATTACCTTTACAGAAAAACTAGATAACAGTTTTTAAAAATGTCTTTCAATTTTGTCTATCTTGCATCTTTGACACTGATATTATAATAAATATTTAGAAACTATCTGGGTAGTTTATTAAAATTTCATATATTTTTAATGAAACTGAATTAATTTATGTCTATTTAAAATAAAGTGCTGCACATGATACTTTTGAATACAGAAAATATCCATATTAAAAATTAGATACACATTGTATTGTATACTAGTGCCTTTATCCATAGGAATATATTGCAATGTCCCTTATGTATGTGTGAAACTATGGAAAATCCTAGAACCTGTATACAGTGTTGTATTCTGTGTGCAGATCTGTAGCAAAGTTTAAGCTATAAGCACATTGAGAAATTAACATTTTCTCACTTACTATGGATTTTAGCAATCTCAATGTAAGGTTACTTTGCTTTCTCTAAGGAAAGAACTTATTGAGTCAAAAACTTTCACCTTTTTCCTTAAAGAAAACACTATGTCTTCTTTCAGGCATACCCAAATTGCCAACATAACTAATACTGTGTTTTGCACTTTTGCTGAGTTAACATAAAAGTCACTGGACCGCAAGAATGCAGTGCCATGATAATCTGAAAACCAAGATTTCTACTGTTACTGATTTAGCATGTACAATGTGGAAATGATTGAGAAAGCAACAGTTAATGTTCGAAGCAGGATAGAGAGGAATGGAAATAGATTTCATTGTAGTACTGTAAAGGGTGTAAAATTTAACCCTTACAAATGATTTATTTTTGTATAATTCCACAAATTACAGACACAAAGCCTGTAGCTAACTGAAAGTGTGGAAAGCAAAACCACAAATAAGAGGTGCTACAGTTTTTATCTTCAGTGCTTAAGTGTTGAAGGCTTGGTCTCAAGTTTGAGACCATACTTACAAGCGAAATGAATCAACCTGTCATGTATAAATACCATACAGTCTTCTTAGTGTAAGAAATGATAAGAATATATCAAAGTGTATGGTAATCATTATTCCCCATTATATTGCTTTGAAGCCTTATAATGTTTTCATTCATGATGGAATGGTTTTATTCTGGTTGTTTCATTTGGTCTGTGATGGTATGAACAGCTATTTTGATGAAAAGACATTATCATAGCTAGTGCTGATTTAATATCATTCTACCATGCTTTTGTTCTTCTGTCTCCATTGGTTTTATCACGTTATATTTCATTGGATTTTGTTAGGTGTGATAGTATAAACAAAAATTTTATGGACAAGGAGATAATATAGTAATCCTTGTTTGTTTTCTGTTAGTTGGTTCTGAATACCCTGTAATACTTTCAGTCTCTTGAATGATTTTATACTATTTTGTTAGGTTTGATACTGTAGTGTATGAAAGTATATTCAAATATTTCAATAAAAGAAACACTATGGTAGCTACTGCTATATCGAGTTGTCTTGCGGTGAAACTGTGTTGATTAAATTGTTCTGTTCTGACCTGTTTTGCTATGTTCTCTTTTGTCTTAATCTTTTTAAAATTAAAAAAAAGTGTGTTGAAGACTTGGTAGAAGAGAGTGAAACCTCTGATAGGTGGAACCTGGTTGGAGGTACTTAGGCCATTAGAACCAAAGCTCTGCAGAGGATCATGAAATTCAGTGTATTCCCTTCCCTCTACTCTTTCTTAGCCATGAGGTTAGAAGTTTTGCTTCACTGCACATACTGTGTCACTGCAAGTCAACAGTCCCAGAGACTGGAATCTCTCAAATTTAACCAGCACAAAGCTTTTCTTTTGTAATTATGTTTTTTTTTTTTTTGTAATAATGGAAGGTTTAGTCACACAAAGAGAACTACTGCACATTCGAAAGGACTTGTAGTACTTTTATTATTAAACTCACTACAAACTGCATTTCGGTTATTCTAAGTGATACTTAAATTAACTATAATTTTCCAATTTATTTTCTAAACATTTGAAGATAATTTTGATGAAGTATATTGATCTTATACTTGAAAATTGCTGAATTCACTTATTAATTTCATTACTGTAGGCAATATTATTCAGAAATTTCTGCATAAAAGTTAAATAAGTAGGAAATTGATGTGTAATGACTAAAATCTTGGTGTTTTCTTTCTGCCTTATTGTATAAGCAAAGTAATACTGATAATGAGTGTAATTGCAAACAGCAAACACAAAAGCAATCATTTAATCATTCTTCATTAAGATTCTATTAGTATTGAATTAGTTTTTAACTCTAGAAACCTACAAAAATTGGACTGTGAGTGTAGAGTATAAGTTGAGAATGGTGAAAAGTGGTACTATCAAATAAAATATACCGTGGCACCAGATTTGACATACTGGTTATCTTAAAGTTAACTTTGAAGATTATATAAACTGTGTGCAACTCTTGCCAAGAAATGCATTTTTGTTACATACCATTGTGCAAATGTCTGAAAATTCTTTCTGTGAGCTTATAACACAAACTTTTAGCAAATGCATCTTTTCCTTTCTTATCAACAAGTTTTTCATGCAGGAAAAGATGGAGTTTGTTTTTTGGTTTATATTTAGCTTAGTTATTCTTGCTGATATATTTTTTATTATGGTTGATTAATGTTTATGTATTTGCTGTTTTGCTGTCTAACTTGAAACATCAAGTCCATTCATTTTAAGATAAATAACTGTAAAATACATTCAGATATGAAATGTAACTAAGTTAATGCATATGTCTAATATATAAAGGATATTGGAGCATATAATTTATTTATTAGAAGAATTAATTTTATTTTTTAAAATTTTATTTAAGGAGAAAAAAGACAAAAAACAGAAAAGAGGTACAAGTTATACAGAATTTCAGAAAAAATAAACAGTAGAAAATCACTAATTAATTACATATTGTCATCTTAGAAATAGTTGTTGAAGTTACAAAATTAAAGCATATAGAGGGGACTTTCAAACAGTGAGACTGCAAACAGTTTTGTTCAATGATCCAACAAAACTCAGTAATATGGTTATCTATCTTATACACTTAAATATATATGCAGTTAAGTCTTTTAGAGAATTTTCTTTTCCTTTCTTTGTACAATGACAATTATACATTTTGGGTTTTATTACTCCCATAGTTCTTATTAATTTTTTTTGAAGAAAGTAAAACCAAATGTGACATACCAGGACAGAGTCTGTGAAATCAAAAGGATGGGCATAATACATAATGTAAAAGGTATCAACAATGGTTACCATAATGCCTCTTGTTATCTTAAAAAGAATTGCCTATATCATCAGTCATAATAAAACTGAACAAAACAGTAAAGAATAAGACCAATAAAACCAAAACATTGGAGACATTAGAGGACTTCAAAAGAAGATAATAATCAACCAGAATGGGCATCACAATGAATCTTATTATCTTCATAGTTGTTGCCTATACTTTTTTTTTTTTTTTATTTAAGAGGAAAAAGAGAAAAACACGAAACAAACCAAAGCGGCGTAAGGGTACACGCAATACAGAACTACAAAACAAAACAAAACAAAACAAAGCAAAACAAAAAACCATAACAGTAAGAAATTACCTGCTAGTAGATTACACACTATTTTCTTGAAAATAGTTCCTCAAATCACAGTATCAAAGAACACAAGGTGGACAAACAGGGAGACTGCAAACAGCTGTGTTCAATGTTCCAAAAACATTGATAAAGTCAGCTATTTAACACCCCCAAACACACTTGCTGTTATATCCGTTAGAGCTCCTTTTCTTTTTTTTTTTTCCCTCTCTTTTTTACAACAAAATTTACACATCTTGGATTTTATTACTCCTTAGTGCTTATTACTTTCTTTAGGGGGGGGAAGAATACAGTCAAATATGGCAAAACAAAGCTGTCAGTCAATACCAAGGATAGACATAGCACATGGTGTAGAACAGAGTACAAGTTTATCAACAATGGTTATCAACGTTGTCCCTTGTTTCCTTAAAAAGAATTGTCTATCTTATTAGATATTATAAAGTTGGACAAAACAGTAGAGAACAAGACCAATAAAACTTAGGCATTGTAAACATTACAGGACTTCCAAAGAAGACAATAGTCAAACCAGAATGGGTATCTTAGTGAATCTTATTGTCTTCAAAGTAGTTGCCTATGTCTTCAAACTTGATACTATCATATAGAATGGAACAGAGTCTAATCAGTCAAAACAAGATCGTGGGAGTACTACAGGACTTCAAAACAAGTTAATAGGAAATCGAAAAGAGTTACTATTTATATATCCTAATTTTTTTTTGAATTTTTTCTTTAATTAAGGCAAACATAAGAAATGACTAAATAATTTTTTTTGAAACAATAAGGGGGAGATTGAGATAAAACAGGACATAACAATATAACAATAGAGGTCACAGCATGACTGTTTCAATAACCTAGT